CCTTCCACAAACTGCCTTCATTCTCCATCTTAGGCATCAAGGCAATTGGAGAGTTGGACGACAATGAAACAATCAATTTGTGCTATGTTGGCCATGTGATAGTTGAAGATTTAAGCGTTGGTTATGAGGATCGAAGATTTGAGGGATTCTAGTGTTGAGCCGCAAGATTGAGAGAGGAGAGGAGAAGAAGATGGACGAATTTGAGCACTCATCATATGATTTGAAGGGGGTTAGGTACTGGCAATTGATGATTGATAGTTGTCGATCTAAAGGTTACTGAAATGATTTTACGAATTTCCTATTTAAAAGTTTGTGCTAAGGTATGTCTTTCACTTTGGTGGAGAAGATATAAACATAAATAAATTTCTGTAACATTTTCCCTATTAACTAGCCATGAGTATCTTTTTGTAGTGCCATCAAAATGTCTTTAAATTAGTATTTAAAACATCCATTTAGGTGTGTACAAAATCAAGCTCTTATTTCATTAGTTTGTGGAATTATTTACCTCATTTGGAGGAATAGCCAGTGCTACACTCTCTTGTAAGATTCAATCAGGTAAAAATTTGTTGAGAAGCCTTGCTTGTGCAACAAAGATCCATTTTACGAATAGCTAGGGCATATTTCAAAGATAAGATTAGAATATTGAATATGGGAGCTTCGAATGTGGAAGTAAGAATACAATTCAGAATAGGTAGGCATTTCCTAGAACTGAAAAGTTATGAATAGCTTAGATAGGCAACAGGCTTCTAGGAAGTGACTGGCAACCTAACATTAAGGAAACGTCCAATGTGTTCCAGCCGAAGCTTTTGAATTCAAGGTGTTGGTGGATTATTATAGCAAAGCAATGGGAGAAAAATGAAATCCAATTAACTCTTGAGCATCCCAACATTAAAGGAAGGCATATTATTGCTCTTGTGAAGTAATCAGGAATCTTTTCTTCTCCTTTAGTAAACACTCATTTGCTTGTAGATGATTTATGACTACCACTATATTGAGGGTTTTGAATTTATGTAATGTGTTTTACTACTTTGGCCAACACAAGATTGTTTTGGTGTTAACTTGTGTCCACACACATAGAACAGAGAGAAGAAATATTCCCAGAAAACCCATTGTTGAAGAGTAAAGCGAGATGAGAGAGCGAGACAGACCGAGGGAGCGAGGTAGCGGACGACGAAGATCATGGGACCAGCACAGAGCACAGAGCACAGAGCGAGGGTCGAAGAAGCACCAGAAGGTATAACGGAGCAACCAACTGGAATAGAGGCCGTCAGAGATAAGGGTATGAAGGTGGATACGATCGAGCCCTTTACAACCAAGCAACGGTGTTTTTCTTCACCAACTTTCCAGATGGCTGGACCTATGAACAAATGTGGAGGACCTTTCCAAGTTCGGACATGTATTTGCCATATATAGCCCCCAGAGAAAGAAGAAGGAAGGTAGTAGGTTTGGGTTTGTGCGCTTCCTGGACATCAAGGATGAGAGGAGCCTAGGGAGACAATTAGATCAGATCTGGATTGGCAACCAAAAGCTCAAAATCCACCCTCCTCGTTTTAACACTCAAATAACACCGGTACACCCCAAACACCATACCAACATTGCAGGGAACCCAAAACCAAGCTACGCGGAGGTAGTACAAGGCACTGGAAGTAGAGGTGACGACTGGACAGCCAATAAAGGTACCAAACCTGTCCAACATGGGATCACAAACAACAATGGCAAAACAAAACAAAAATGGATAGAGAAGCGGAGGGAATTGCATTAGACTGGACTTGAGTTCAACCCGAGGCATGAAGAATGGGAATGGCTTAAGGGATGCTTTGTTGGAACAGCCAGATCAGTAGAGATTGTGCCCATACTTCAAGAAAGACTATACATGGAGGGGCTTTTCTCAATCAAGCTTCGAGCAATGGGTGGGAAACTTGTCCTTATGGACTGTGATGATAAAGAGGAATTGAAAGAACTGGTTAGGTCAGCAAAAGATTGGCTGGGGCAGTGGTTCGTCAACATTAAACATTGGACCCCCAAGATGGTTGCCACGGAGAGATTTGTTTGGCTGAAGTGCTATGGAGTTCCTCTTCATGCATGGGGTCCTGACTTCTTCATCTCAATTGCAAATCTATGGGGGAATTTTATCACCCTAGACGAAAGCACTAGCTCTAAAAAGAGGTTTGATGTTGCAAGGTTTTTGATCTCCACATCAGAAACAGGCCTAATCTCTAAAACTCTTACATACAAAATTAACGGCCACATGTACTGCATAAAGTGCAAAGAGGAGGAGACAACAAATGGGTGCTTCTCTTTAAAAGCAGACTTCCAACCAATCTCCCCATCAAACTCTGAGGAAGATTGCAGTGAATCTTGGTCCTCCGACTATCCATCCGAAGACACTCAAAGATTTGGCCAGAATGGAGTCATGCATGGCGGTGACTCTAACCCGGCATCCGATGAAGACGACGACGATGTGGCACTAAAGGATAGCTAGGCAATGGGAAAGTCAACTAGGGTGAGGATTTCGAAGGATCTTTCAGATTGGAACAGTGCAAATAATAAATTCAACTGGCAAGAAAGGACGACTATTTGTTGCCAAGAAAGACATGAGGAGGGATGTTCAATAAACATAGTTGGTGATAGCCTGACACCACCGAAAAATTCAAATGATTTCAAAATTTTGAATGGGGATGATGGTAAGCAAGTGGTAGATCCAACGAAGCAACCCTCTGAACACTCCAGTAGTGGTCCCGGATGGACTATTGAGAAAAATAATGGGCCAATTTTGGTAGCCCAACAAAACTCCACCAATTTGCAAGAATTTAACAATGTTGGGCCTGACGTTAATGTTAACTATGATGGGCTTAGCAAATCAACACCTAGTTGTAGCAAATCCATTCCAAAGCAGTCAACCGCTGTAGTTTCATCACTCAAATAGCCTAGCGAATCTGGAAAATAATTCCAAGAGTAAGGCTGATCTTGAGCAGCGATTGGAAGAGGACTTAGGTGAGGATGATGAAATAAACTCTTTCTGGTATGGATTAGCTAGTGATTATGAGATAATTAAAGAAAGAACAAGCCGAGATGCAAGGAAGAAGCAGAGAAGGAAGAAGAAGAGCAAGAGAATCAGATCGTGCCAAGCGGTGTACAAGGATTCCAATCCAACAATGACTGTTGAGGTTCAGAAGATGGGTCATGGACGGTCAAGTTTATTAAAGGAATTGGGAGAAAAAGTCCCTGAATTCTACCTAAAGGACACCAACTCTGTAGCGGGGGCATCAATTACAGATAGTGCTATTGAAAACTGCAACAGAGGGTTTCATAATAAGGATAGAGTCACTTCAGCTTTAGATGCGTGGAATCTCATCAAGGATATGAGTTTGGCTGCTGATGGGAATGAAGATGAAATCATCAAAAAGATTGAGTTGATGGAGTAGAGAGACATTAATGCTAAAAAACAAGCACTGGAAAGGAATACGGTGAATGGTGGTGAAGTACGTATATTTCATCCATGATTATTCTCTCTTATAATGTGCGAGGCTTAGGTGGTTTTGACAAGAAAATAGAAGTAAAGGAATGGGTAATAAAGGAAAAAGTGCAGTTTCTAGCTTTGCAGGAGTCAAAATTAGAACAAGTTAGTCGTCAAACTTGTAGAGCTCTATGGGTTACAGATGATTTTGAATTTGCAGCTATGCCTTCTGTTGGTCGTTCGGGTGGATTGATTTGTGTTTGGGATAACAATATTTTCCAGCTGAACAGAATTTTTAGCAGAGAACACTACTTGGGTTTGTTTGGTTTTTGGGGAAAAAACAGGACGCCAGTGCACCTTATAAATGTCTATGGCCCTTGTGATTTGGTAGGAAGGAGACAGTTGTGGACTGAGCTAAAAGCTCTAATTACAAGTATGAAGGGTAACTGGTGTGTGATGGGAGATTTTAACACCACAAAGAATAGTCAGGAAAGAATTGGACGCACTAGTGTGTCAAGAAGCATGTGGGATTTTGCAAACTTCATTCATGAATATGGGTTGGTGGATATCCCTTTAATTGGAAAAAAGTACACATGGTACCACTCAAGTAGCAACTCTATGAGTCAATTAGATCGATTCCTGATGACAGAGGAATGATTAGCAAACTGGAGTGAAACAAGGCAGTGGGGTTTGAGGAGATCACTCTCTGATCATTGTCCAGTGTTGTTGAGAGATTCAAAGATTAATTGGGGCCCTAAGCCCTTTAAATGCTTCAATAGCTGGATTGACAAGCCAGGCTTCCATGAAATGATAATAGATACATGGAGAACAGCTGATGTTCAAGGATGGAAAGGCTACTGTCTTAAGGAGAAAATCAAGCTTGTAACGAAAAGGCTTAAGGAATGGAGTGAGAATGATCGTATGAGGCTAGATCAGAGCATTGCTGAAAGCAAAGATAAAATTGAAGCACTTGATTTAAAATGTGAACAAGGGACTCTTTCAAGG